TCTCTGAGCTGTCTCGACTACTTTGTCTAGAATTTTTATATGATTTGATCAAGCCTACTCTTATATGGCCATAAGTTCCTGAAGCCATCTATTTTTGAGGCTTGTTGATCTCCTGCTACTTTCAGTGCTTGTTGATCAGGCAATCTGAACATGGCAACAACTGCATCTACTGGTCATGCTATATGGCAACTACTGCATCTACTAGGCATGCTATATACTTGAAGATCCAATTGCTCATTTCCGCAATTAGTAGTCAAACTCCAGCTTAGCATCTTGAGTTTGAGGGAAAGTGTGAAAGGAAAGCATAATATTGTATTTTTTTTATAAGTAAAGGAAGTTGTGATTTATTTATATATTTTCTTATATGTATTTGTCTATTTAAGACAAGCTATCTATATGATTTCTATTGAATTTCTACAATAACTTCTATGAATACTCTCAACTAGGGTTTGAAAACTCGCCAAGTCGAGCCGGACTCGAAGGGTTCGACTCGAGAATCATCTACTATCGAGCCGGTTCTACAAAAAAATCGGGAATCGTCCATGTCCAGAGAGAACCCGGCGATTCTCAATAGTGAATCGCGAGTCTCACCGAAAAAACCTGGGCATTCTAGTAATTTTTGGGTTTACAAGGGTTTACACGTGGCCGCCCCTACGACATATCTACACATGGTAACTCACCTTACATGTTTGCCCCCACGCTTTTCTACACGCGCAATGAAATATGATATTGCTTTGAATTTATAGAGAACAAAGTAACGCTTATCTTTCGATGTGGGATAATTCCCACAAAAAATCATTAAAGCAAAACAATTGAATATATATTATTATAGAAGCTAGTAAAATCACATTAGGCGACGTGGCCGTGTTGGTTGAGAACTTCAATTTTTCGGTGGACGTCTAGAATTCGAACACACGCGTCCTCGTTTGTTTTTGTTGTCAAAAAAATCGTTTATTTTTGTTGTCAAAAAAATAAACAAAGGCAAAAAATACTGTTGTAAAAAAATAGAAAAAATAAAGAATAAAAGGTTTTTCAAGATAAAGATAAAAAAGATAGTACAATATTTTTTTATTTTTCTTGTAAAAAAAATACAAGGTAATATAACAAATATTTATTGCAAAAAAATAAAACAAAAGGCATAAAAAAATAAAATGTACTTTGGCAGCATCATTTTTTTTATTTTTCTTATAAAAAAAAATAAAAAGTAACACAACAAGCAAAAAAAAATGTAGTACAACATCTTCTTCTTTTGTCAAAAAAGAAGAATAAAATAATTAACAAGTATCATATTTGTCTTGTAAAAATAAAATAAAAGATAATACAATAAGTATTTCTTGTCAAAAAAATAAAAGGTGTTTCTTAATACAATCTAGGAATAAATGGTCTAATTAT